TGTGTAACACACTAAAGTCGGTTGCACACTAAAAGATCAGTCAGATTTAATTACTTTTTCATAAACTTAAAACAGGAGTATTGAAAATTGAAGCTCAGTTGTGATGTAAAAGTTAGATGACATAGAGTAGGTATTCTGCAGGAAGTAATGACATGTGGAAATATTTCATCTTAAACCAGAAGTTGTCTGAAACTGGTAATTATTTTGCAGTTTGCTGCAAATTCAGACAACTTCTGTGGCCTCCCAGAGTTTCTCTGTTTTATATTTATGGTAGTATGTTAATGAATTCTTCACTTAGAAGTTTCAGAGTGTTTACATTAGGTTTTTAGAAGTGACAGCACAGATGAAATCATTCCAGATGCCTCCTAACTTTTGAACTTCTGTGAGACGACAAATGAATCTGTAGTGAATTCCATACAGTTAAAAAAAAAAAAGTATTTCCCCTTTTCTGCAGCCAGCAGGTAAGCCATGGATAGCAGTGCCTAAGGAAAATAGCAATGCCTAAGGACAATAGCATGTAAATAGGTCTCATAGGCAGGATTTCAATGACTTTGCCTTTTTTATGAGACTGCAATTGCAAGCTGTCCTACCATAACTAAAAATAATTATTAAAGTTAGAAATAAGATAAAGACAGAAGTCAATTAATGGTTTGCCTAAATAATCTTCAGAGTTAAATTTCTTTCTTCTGTTACCACATATGTGGATCTTTTGCACCAATGTAAACTATTTTCTGGAGAGGAGATCTAAACAGTAGAGGTTGGTGCTCAAATGTCAGTTGAGAGTTTAAGACAAAATTTTAGAATAACTGGCGTTCTAAAGGAGAACTGGAACAAAGTGTTATCAGTAGCTTCAAAGAAAACAACTCGTGGTAGCACCTGGCTGGTTTTTCAGTACATGGTCCTGGGAGAAAACATGGAGAAGGTTTGTTCCACTGCAGTAGCTGGGAAGGTCAGGGAAAAAGGAAAATCTCTGCTATAGCAGACACTGATCCAGAAACTCATTCTAGATGATGTAAGTTCTAGGATGTTAGTTTTGAAATGGATCTTTGTCTTGCTAGGGAATTAGAAAGAAAGAAATCACAATCATCTGTTGCTGTTATGGGGAAGGAGAGAAGGAGGCAGCTTTTCATAGCAAACTGCAAGTGTAGGACTGCAGCTGAGCACTGGAGCTCTAAGGACCTGAGGCTGTGCGCTCAGGAGCAAACTGAGGGTAAGTTTTAGATTCCTTGTTTCTCATCAGGTGGCCCAGAGCCCCTGTCTATGGACACCCACTTGCTAGTGTGAGGAAGCAGCATGGCCTTATTTCACTGTTGGGTAAGTTGTGTTGAATAAGCTTATATTTACCAGAGGGTCGACAAGGTGCACGTGCACAGGCACGTAACACAGGGGGAGCTGATGCTTGGTAACCAAGGAACTTGTTCACATGCAAGTCCAGAATGTCGTTCATTAGTGCATCTGCTGAGAGAGTGCCTCACTCTGGAGACACTGAGTACATGTGGTTCCACAGCAGGGTCAGAGATGCTGGCCTAGAGGCACTTTGGTGCTAGGAACACATGACCTCTGACTTAGGCTCCAAGGTCCTTAAACACACTAGTTAGGTGCAGCAGTGCTGTAACTGCTGCATTCCTGTGTGAATCAAGAAGTAGGACTAGGACTTCTCTCCCTCAGCTTCATCATTGACTTAGGTTTTTTTGGCCTTGGACAACTCTCCTAGGCATTGTTTTGTTCCAGTTTTACAGATGGGAACAGACCTACTTACCTCGTGGCAATGGTGTGAGGCTCTCCTTCATTAGTGCCTGCAAGCTGCTGTGAGATTCTTTGGAGGAAGGTGCAATATAGAAAAAAATTCACAGAGATAGATCAGATAAGTTTAAAAATTATGGATGTTGAGGCCCCACAGAGATATAAATTTGGCTGAAATTTAACCAAAGTGGTAAAACCTAAACCCCTCTAAATTTTGTACAGGGAGGAATTCACTTAACATCTGATCCAGTTCTTGTTAAAGGGAAAGATTTCAATGTATCTCAGAGGGCTTTTGCTACTTTTTTATTGCTGTTGTTATTATTTGTTATTCTTAAGGTACTGAGATCAAATGGCCTGTATCATCCACATGCATCTGTTCTGAACACTACAATGCGATGCTGACATTGACTGTATTGGATGAGTGTTTGTTACTCTGAAGTGTGTATGCTACTAAATAAATCAGACTGAAGGAAAAAAAGACATCTACTGTGATTTGGTCATGTGAGAATAATATCTTTTCTTCAAGAATTTCTTTAGGAAAGGGAGAAAAACAGTATGTTTCACTGCTTTTAGTCTTTACCATATGGTACTTCCTAAAGCAAAACCAGAAGCCAAATGGTGGAGCTTGGTTCCAAAACCTATTGGTGTTACTTTTAGAACCTGATTCACCCAAAGCTTGTCAGCTTCCTTCAAGGTAAGCTCTGTCTCAGAAATCTCAGTGAATGGTCTACAGCCTATTAAAAAAAAGTGCATCAAGAGGCACTTGTCAGACTCAGAGCACTAAACTGTTCCCCTGGGCAGTTTTGTGTGGACACAGGGAAAAAGCACTCAACTCTCTAGGACTGGCAGCACTTCTCAGCAAGAGAGAGTGTATTCTTATCATAGAGAGTGTGCAAAAAGTACTTATAAGAGAGGGAAAGAAATATCCACCATTAGTGTCTCTTTATTTTGTGTTGCAAATATAGAAGTATACACTTGTCTAGCTTTAAATTGCATAGAAGCAGGTGTGTCATCTACTTATGTACAGTAGTCACTCAGAAAGGAACGTTGGCAGAAGTGCTGCCTTGGTCGGAGGCGATGACAAATCAAAACCCGTTCACATGACTTTTCCATTTGTGTGCTGTGATGGGAAGATGTGAGGCATGGCATCACTAAGGTCTCTGCATGGGATTGAGAAGGGTGGACAGCCAGGAGGAGAGAGCACAGCCATGCCTACAGGAGAAACTGTCTCACACAGCTCAAGGGTCTAAGGAAGTCTGGTCCCTTTCTGACACTGCTGTGGAGATGCAAATACAGTGGGGGGAAAAGTATTCCCAGTAGCAGCAATTTCTTCTCTTTCAGGAAAGTAGGGAGAGTGTCTTGGAGGTGAAGTTACACTTGCAAAAGCCCATATCTATTTTAGCACCCTTGGAAAGCTTTCTTAGTGCACACTAGCCCATGGGCAAATTAAATGAGAACTTAGCTCAGGAAAAGGGTTGATATGAAGGGGGACACCTTAGATCTGTGCAATTAAAAATTCTGTTTGTTTAGGAGAGCACGGATTACAAAGAAATGAGAAGCAGGACTAGCAACAAATGTGAAAAAGCAGAGAAAGACAAATTGAAATTTCCATTTTTGTTTCATCTCGTGTTAATCAGTCCCTTCTTTAAAATGTATGTATGAGGTTGTGTGAAGCAACATAAAGTATTAATGCTAAACACAGTCAAAAACCAACTATATACATACAATTACAAAACCAATTTGGTAATGTTAAAAAACAGACACCTATCAGGAAGAGCAATTTATAACAACCCTATAAATGACTGATTCTGCAGTAGGGAAGTAGTGGAAGATTTCACATGGATTATAGACTAAATTAATCCCCGGTCTCCAGCTCATGTCATTCCTCTAGGAAACAGAATTGGGTTTTGGCTTCCAGTTTCCAAATTAATCAAATTTTGACAGTATGGGTTTAACTCACTGGTGATGCCCTAAAAATGTCTCCTTAATAAAAAGCAGTTTCACAAAAGTTACGTTTTGCAATGCTAGCAGTTGAGCACTATGAAATCTCTGATTGTACAAACAATAAGTTTCAGTCTCAGAATTGAAGGACTGAAGGTTGTAGCATGTATAACTGCAATTGTTTTGGGGTTTTTTTTTTTTTTGAGATAAAATGGTTTGTACAGCATGTGGCATTCAACTTCACAACAGGAAAAAAATATTAACAATATTTCCTCCAGGACGTTAATTAAAAATTCATTATCTGAGGGTTTTTAAATAGCATCTAAAAAAAGATTGTTACAGGTCAAAGATTCATGGCAATATGCTGAGAGAAGATCATTCCATTTGGGAGAGTTAAGAGCATTGAGGCTGCTAATGCAGATTCTTTTAAAATTCCCAGCTCTTTCTTTTAGTGCCCATTTGGTACCTGCATCTCCATGTCTTGTCTTTTTAGAAAAGACTGCATCTGGCTCAGTGCAGCCCTGAGCTAAATGCTGTTGTAAACCATTAGAGTCTGTTTTGGAAATAAATAATCCATATATGCTCACTCTACTCTTACAGTTGCTCTTCAACATCCCACTCTTGATCACTGTTAGGGATAAGATCCTGGTCAAGATAGAATTCTGCTCAGTCTCAGTGCAGCTTTGTCTATGTGCTTCCTGTAAATGAGTACCTTGATGCAGCTATTCAGAAAAATCAGGTATTTGTCCGATGTGCTGGACTTGCACTTTATTTATAAAATGAAGGCATAGCTACAGCCAAGACTGCCCTGGCATTCCTAATAGCACTGTGCTCTCCTCTCACTTCACTTTTCAATAGCTTCCCTGGTTTTGTCACTACTGGCCTTTCTATATCTGTGAGTTATGTTGAGGCAAGGGCTTCACGGGGAAAACAGTGGTAGCTCAAAGCTGGGTAACTATCTGGACAGTAGAGATCATGCCTGCTTCTCACTGGAATCTTGGGGTATTTTATAGTCATTTAAAAATATGAAGAACTGTCTTCTCTCTGCTATTAAAAGTCTCTGGGAAGAGAAGGTAGTATAGTTAACTTCCCATGGCTTCTGAACCAGCCAGTATTTCACTCCTATTCCCACCAGTTTCCAGCCCCTGCTAATGGCTAAGGAGAATTAAAAGCAGAGTCATAATGGGCCTGCAAAAGCATGGCCCTGACCACCAGTGCTCTGCTCAGGACAGACAAGGGCTGAAGAGTGAGCTGGCATCACCTCCACTGCAGCTGAACCATGATCACTGCACTCTGCTGTGGCCTTATCTCATATTCAGGGAGGAAGGGGCCAAGGTGCTGGCACCAAGTCACAACTACTGGAAAGTTTGATAGGTCATCTTTTGGGAGGAAAAAACCTACTAATGTATGAACCATAAAAGCAATACAATCTGAAAGGTAAGGACAAACTGATTAAATTCCATTAGTTAAAAGTAAATGCATTTATTTTTGACTAGCATGGTCCAGAGGCGGCCAGTCTGAAATATGATCAAAAATGTTAGCATTTGCAAGAGGAGAGAATGAGAAAGTTTCCCGCTAAATGGGCTCTTCTGCCTCATCCAACTGGGCTGTAACAACTCCTGGATATAAGGCAGGACAGGGAATGAACTAAATATGAGAGAAGCTACAAAGGTGAAATGGGAAGAAGGGCATAGGCAAAGTCATTCATCTCCCTTGGTCACTAAACCCATCAGTCCCCACATTGGTACTGAAATTTGCCCCACACAGAGGGACCCCTCTCTTCTGACTATCAATCCTTTTACAACACCATAGATTTAGAATTATTTCCACACTATATGGGTCTTTGCTGAAAGGTGACCATCATCACCATTTATGTCTGGGAATCATAGAAGGATTGGTGTGAAACAGGACCTCCAAAGATCATCTAGTCCAACCTCCCTGCTCAAGTAGGTTCTCCTATAGCAGGTTGCACAGGATCATGTCTGGGTGGGTTTTGAGTGTCTCCAGAGCAGGAGACTACACAGTCTCTCTGGGCTACCTCTTTCAGTGCTCTGTCACCCTCAAAGTAAACACATGTTTTTTCTCATACTCAGGAATAATGTCCTATGTTTCAATTTGTGCCTGTTGTCCCTTGTCCTGTTGCTGGGTATCACTGAAATGAGTCTGCTCCCATCCTCTTGACACCTGCTCCTAAGGTATTTGTATGCTCTGAATTGACATTGTATAAAACTGTCCATTCTAAAGTCAAAGGCCTAAAACTATACAAAGCGTGGAAGAGATAAAAAGTCAGACCAATGAAGCATAAACCTGTGCTGAAGATGCCTTTCACTGAGGATGGATTCAGACTCCTCACCCTGTGATTTTCTTTACCACAGCTCAGTAATGTCCACCCTGACTGATGTAAAGGACAGGAAGTCTGTGGTCTAAGCAAGCCATCACCTGCTAGCCTGCACCTTCAGACTGACATGCAGCTGATCACTAAGCATAAAGCATATACCAGAGAACCTCTTGCCTCAGAAAGGAACTGGAGCAGTCTACAACCAGCATCTCACTACACAGCTTGATTACACACAAAGACAGCATGTAATTTGCCATTGGAGGTGTGACATTCAGGAGCGGTACAAGAACAGAATCCTTCCAAGACTGTTCAGACTTAATCCAAATTATTTGCCTTTTCAGTCTCCTTATTTTGCAGCTTTAATCTGTAAACATGAATTTAGATCCTAAATAACTGAAGAAAGCCTTAGAAATGAGCTGTCTTGGAAACAAATGACTACCTTTATAAACAAGTCTGCACTTGCAAGGCAAGGAACAATTGCTACCTGCTCAGCTGTGTGAAGCCAAGTCATGGCTTTACCTTTCTCAAATGGTTGAGCTATTCTACTTTCCTGTAAGTGAGGTTTGCATTAGATTTCCCTTCACTATTCTTCTCCTTTGCATTACTTTCTACCTCAGAGTATTAAAACCAAGAACTCCATCACACCATATGCTTGATAGTTACCCAAGAACCTCAGCTAAGTTCTTACCAACACAGCATAGAGAATTAATGCTGAATATCAAAGTACTTACAAAAATGAAGTTCATTTTAAGTAAAGTCCATTAAAAGATAAGTCCATTTCTCATCACACCATGCAGCTCACCCTTCTCTGAAAAACCACCTGCCCCTTCGATGACAAGAGCTGTGAGGAAAGCAACACCATGAGGCAAGCAGCACATTTCCTTCACTACTCAAAGGAATATTATCAGCTCCACCAGCTACTGCTTTTTTAATGGTAAATGTTTTCCTCTTCATTGCTTGTTTACAAAGCACATGCTCAGAGGAGCCTGATTTTTTTTTCATTCTTCCTACTGCTTCCAGTTTGAGCAATAGCTTCCACAAGGTCTACTAATAAAACAGATGCAAATGTGGCTGCTACTTTTTTTTACTTCCCTTATAGTGCATAAGCATTAGTAATTCACCAGGACCTTAAAAAGCTCTCAGGAATGTAGTAGCCTTTGCAAGTTGGTTGCTGCTGGCACAGCACATGTTTTTAGATTCTTGGTTCAGAAAGAAGCACAACCTGTGTTGGCCATTATTTCCAGCCAAATACTGCAGCTGGATGGCAGGTCCATTTCTTTTCACCTGAGCAGATTGAAAAGGAGTTCTTTCCTTAGGAACCGTATTCTGAATCAGACAAACAATGCCATTGTTCTCCACTTCTAAGCTGGTTCAGTGGAATGCATTTGAAGGACAGAGATAGAAATGCAAGTGCCTTTAACAATGTGGGATCCAGCAGGTAGACAGAGGAAGCAGAACATTGCTGATGTTGAAAGTTCACCCATCTGATTGAGCTAAAGTGGAGGAAGTTAGTGAAACAGGAAGCAGTCCTTCCAGACACACACATTCCCTGATCTTTGGAAGAACCATTTCTACTATACTGGAGTAACACTCAGGTCATCTGACAAAGACAGACCAGAGTCTCTCTCTCTTGATGTTTTCTCTTTTTTACAAAAAGGCTTTTCATCTCTGTGAAGACTGGAGCTCCTTAGCACAGCTGCTCTGACCTCTGCCAAGGCTGATGGCTGGTGCTCGGCACTATAACATAGGTCATCATAAGCATAATTTACATTGCCACAGGGGAAAGTCTGGAGTTTCACCAGTTCAATCCCACTGATATCCAGGTGAGGGCAATTACTTTCACTTGGAGATGCTGGAGATGCCCGAGAGCTAGGAGAACTGCAATTCCCATCAAAGCCTGAATCTTCCCGCTCTGGATTTGCTTTGAGCTTGGAGCTGGGGCTGAAGTGACAGATATTCTCTAGCACCCATGATCCATATGTTGGATTCCAAAGATTTTTTGTTTTGTTTTTAAGTCTGTGGGCAGATGAGTTGCTGGGCTCCAGCTTCTGGTTTGAGGTCTGCTGGAACCACGACCCACTGTTGAAATCACTGAGGCATGGCAAGCTGGGCCCTCGGGCAGTCCGGTTGTTCAGGTTCTCCACCAGTAGCTCTTGTGGACATTGTACAAGTTTGTGCCCAGCATGGTGGGATTCCAGTGTCTTAGGTGTTGTCTGAGGGGTGAGAGAAGGGCTTACCAGAAGTGGCACTATCCCACTGGAAATGTTTGGGCGCATGATCATACTCCCTTCATCCTCTGGTGCAGGGCTACACTCCATGGGCAGCTCAGTGTTGATCACATCAGGGTCCTGAAAAAGAGAGACAAGAGTCTGTTACATCTTCAGGGTGACTGTCACAGGTTTGGGCAATACTCCTGCACATCAAACAAGGTGCTATGGTCCATCTGGACATCACATGCTGTTGAGATTTACATGTCTCCTTTGAGAAGAGACTGTGCTTCGTTGAAATCAGTGACTAAGCTGTAGTATAAAATTTCTCTTTTGAGAGGTTGGATCCAGACCTGGAGCTGTTAAATGTTACTGGATAGTGAACTCACTGTACCATTTCATTCCCCCTCTCCACTCCATAACTATTCAGCTGTGGCTTTTGAGCAACATTAGGCAAGGTCAGAATATGGACCTTGAGAGAGATCTAAATACCTTTCCATCACAAAATGAAGGACTTTTTGCAATTGAACAAGCTGAGAGCTAAAAGCATCCATTTGCACAGTATATGCTCATTATGGCTGGGCAGAAGATGGGAGAGTGAGGATGAACACTGGAAAAGAGCCAACAGCACCACCACGTTACTCATTACGTTACTAGTAAAGAAATTATGTCAGTCTGCCAGGACCCTTCACTTGCCTTAGGGTTTAAAGCTAATGTCTTTGAATAGTTGGCATTCAATGGATTATCGTCCACCTGGATACCAAAGACCAGTACCTGGGTGCAGTACTTGATCCTTTCCAGGATGGTTGAGAAGTTTGGCCGATACTCTGGACTGTGCTGCCAGCATTGTGTCATGATCCGGTACCTTAAAGTTAAAAAAAAAAAAAGGAAATTAATCAAGATTATTCAGTATAAAGTGATCAAGGGTCCAAGGGATCACACTTGGTACATGGCTCAAAGGAGGAGTGCAAAAGTGGATCTATCATTTCTATATCCCTGGATCCTGCCTGACTGGGGAGCTGCTATTTAAAGCAAATCCTGTATTGCTCTAACCTGTATACAAGAGGCAGTAGCTCAAGACATATTTAGCAGTACCCACCTAACACAGAGGGCAATCACCATTCCCTTAGTAGAGGTGTCTTTGTCCACATTTTTGACATGTACTACACCTTGGCTTGTGAGAGTAAGGAAATACTTACACTGGCCCCGGACAGTTTTTTGGTGGATCCATTCTTCCTCCACTCGTAACAAATTCCAGCACTTCCTGATTGGTTTTGCAAGGGTAGGGCATGTAGCCTAGAGAGAAAATCTCCCAAAGCAGCACTCCAAAGGACCTGTGTCAGAAACCAGCCAAAAATACCAGTCAGATTTCATTTGTGCTCCACAAACCTAGCTTGTAGCTGTGTAGGCAACACCACAGCAATGACCTTTCAAAGCTGCAGTCCAATTACAGTAATATGCAATTAGTGTGATAATGAGTCAATGTTTACATAAGAAGACGCCCCAATCAATCAAAATCTTTGCTCAAGCTCCAAAACAAGTTTTGCAGAGGTTTCAAAATATTTAGTAACTCTGAAGGCTTTCTTTCTGCTGCATTCATTATTAGTAGAGCAGGAAATGCCAAAGCACCCTTGGCTGTGTATGGTCTAACCAAAAAGAACTGTTAGATCTGGCATGGATATTTCTTGCCTTAGTTGGGAAAACTTGAGATTTTTGTGTTGAGGAATACATTTGGTGCTGGTAATTTGGCTGCAGGTTGAGCTCTGGGTGGCAGAAGCCCAAGGCAAGAGGCTGTGACCTGGCACCGACCCACTGCAAAACAAGGGACCCTCTGCAAAACAAGGGACGAGGACCTGTGGCATTGCCAGGTGATTGGACACTCAGAGACACAGCAGGAGCCAATGACTCCAGACTTTGGCACATTTAGCCTGTGAGGGTATAAAAGCCCAGAGCTTCCTTTGTTTGGGGCCCCTCCTCAGAGGAAGGAGCTCAAGTCGTTCTTTTGTTACTGCGTCTTGATTAAATTATTTTAAGTATCCCGACCTCTGAGGCCCTGCTATGGGAAAGCTGGGGCCAAGCTGGTAAGGAAACCTGGTCTGACTGTGAGTGTGGGGGGCTGTAGCTGTGAAGGAGCCTCTACTCAGCTCAAGAGGTTCAAGTGTGACTTCTGGAATGGCTCCTAGATGGTCAGACAGGGACCTTCAAATGTTTCCTAAATATCTGAATCAGTGTTTCAGAACAAGTTGCTCAAGTATAAAATCAAGGGAGAGACATCCAGTGAAACTGAAAGGTAGGAGCATTTCTGATATGGTTGTGCTTTTTTCTACATCCACAGGTCAGATAGTGCCACTAGGAATTATGTATGACTTAGACTCATTGAAGTCAAGAGAATTCTGCCAGGACTTCAGCAGGGTCAGAATTTTCAGTCACTTTTTGCTACAAAGGTCAAATTTCCAGTATATGCATGTTACTTATAATAGCCTATTACAGGAACTGTAGCACTTTCCTTCAAAATATTTAGTGCTGGCTGCTCACAACTAGGCACTGATAAGCAATCCTTGTCTTCCGGCATTGCTAACAACTTCAGGAAACTGGGTCAGTGTGGCATTTGAGGGAATGCCTCAGTACAGCATATTGAAGGATCTGCTGTACAGAGAAAGAAGTGTTCTTAAGCAACTGGAAAGCTTCCATACCCCAGCACCTGTGCATGAATGCGCTACTGTTGAGGGGGTGCTTATTTTAAAGAAAGACCAAGTTGTATGAGAAATCAGTATATAAATATTGTTTCCTCAGCAACCAGCAAGGACTTCTAATTAAACCTGCTGTCATTTTATAGCCAACAAGAAAAAATATACAAAAAAGTAATCCTGGGTGGTACAGAGAGAGTAATTTACAAGAGATATAAGCAGATCCTGTCACTGATGGAAACTGGAAGTTTCTGAAGGCTGAGGGAAGCATTTGATGATATTTGTCTGGATGTTTAACTGAGACTTCCTGAGAATCTAATCTGCTTTGCCTTTTACTTCTTGATTGGCTTTTTGTAATATTCTACTTTTATGAACAGCAAATTTTTGTGACCTCTATTTACATTCAACATTTAAATTCTTATTCTGCATTCTTTAGCCATACTTCTACTGAATGCAGTGGGAAGACTTCTCATATTTTTCTGGGAAATTCTGACTTTAAGGTTACTGCTGAGCACACTTTTGTTCCTTGAGCAGTACATTTCTTGATGCTTTTCAGTGAGTAGCAGAAGTGATTAAAAGACATTTATTACCAGGTATCAGTCTTGGAGGTGAAAATGCCCTCTAGAAAAGCTTCTGGTGGCATCCACTTGACAGGAAGCATGGCTCTTCCTCCCTTGCGGTAGTAACTTGCTCTGGGAAAGATGAAATACACAGAGAATGTCACGCAGCCTGAATGGGCTTTGGTACAGAAAAGATCTTATCACCACAGTAACAGCAGCTGGGGATTGCAAGTAACAGTGGGGGCCAAGTGAGAAAAAGGAAAAGTCATCAACACAACAGTGCATTGAAGCAGGATTTTATATCCTCTTTGCAACTGAGATGGAAACAGAGGATGTTCTTGTGCACAGCTGAAGGCATCAAACTTGCCAATGCTTTGCACAGGGTGTTGGTGCAGCAAGTCTTCTTGACATCATGAAGTAATAAGTATGGTTGCTGGGGGTTTTTAATTTTAATTTAAGATTATTTATGATCAAACAGCTAATAAATTTGCCTATGCTTGGTTTAGTGTCCACAAGTGTTTGTAGTTTTCTGGGACCACAGTTGAAGTGGATTGGCTCATAAGCGTAGATCTGTTATTTTACAGTCTGTTAACACAAATTAGTTAACTGCTCATCA